GATGACACTGTCTGTCAAAGCTTAGCCAAATCACTTTGCGTCATCATGATGGTTTTCAGTTATAGATTCTTAGTTATGTGTAGCCTTAGCTGCAGAGGCAAACTTGACCCAAAACCCACTCTGCATCTGAAAAGCCTTGGATTAAATAGCCAGTCCCTTTCAGTTGGGCCCTGAACTCTTCTACAAACGCTAGCTAGCGTGAGTACCGTTCATTTCTCTAAGTTCCGATTTTGGTGCCATCATTTATTAATCAATGAATTATTTTCTGAATGAGAATAAGTGTAATATATTTTAAGAGAGGGCTTGGGAGATAGCTCTACGGTCTAAGTGCCTGCCTGGCAAGCACAAGGACCTGAGTTTGATCCCCAGTATCGCATGCCATGCTGGCCCCAGAACCTCAGGTGCACCATGCGGGCCCTGAAACCAGGCATGGTGGCTCATGCCCGTAATCCCAGTACTAGGGTGGCTGAGACAGGAGAATCACTAGGAGTCTGAACCATGTAGCAAAAATATATTATCTTAATATATATTAAGATTATATTATTCTATTACATTCTATTATATTATATTCCAAGTAATCTCTCCCTGTTTCCAACAAAAAGACATGTTAAAAGAATAATGCAGGAGCTGGTGAAATGGCTCAGTGGTCTAAGCACCTACTTACAACAAGCTTAGCAAAGCACAGGGACCGCAGTTCAATCCCCCAGCACCACATGCCAGCCAGCCCCGCCCGCTGGTGGGCTGAGCTGGCCACACACACACACACACACAAATAAATAAATAAATTAAAAAAAAAAAGAATAATGCAAAACCCACTGACCTAGATCTGACAAGGGCAGATCTCGTGAGTCCACCTGCACACTCAGCACACACCTTGTGCACATGGCCCATCTTGTACACACCTACTTGACCACTATCAAGTTCAGACACTAACAATAATGCCATACAACCTGAAATTCAGCCCTTATTCAAATTTCCTCAATTCTTACTTCACACAAAACAAGAGTACTCTGCCTTATAAACAGGTTAGATCTGAAGATCAGTTTTCCTGAATCTAAAATGAAATTAACAAAATAGTTAACGTGGGTAGATGACTTCCACAAGAGAAAAGGAAATACCTGTAACACTGATTCTGACAGTTCTTTCTTCTTTATAATCTTTAAAATATTTCCCCAAAGATGCCTAGATTTTTTTGACAATAAAAAATTTGTTACAGGCTACTTCTCAGGGGTAGCTATTGGTGCCACCACAAACCTTGAATAGTTTCCCTTTTGCTATAGTGTTCAGAGTGAACCTAGAGCCCAGTGCATGCTGGGCTACCTGCTCTTATCACTGAGCTATACTCCTAGCTCCCTTTTAAATACTTTTTTTTTTTTTTTTTTTTAACTTTCTGAGAGATCGCCTCACTAAATTGTCCAGGCTGGCTTGGAACTGAACTTCCAATCTTTCTGCCTCAACCTCCTAAGAAGTTGGGATTATAGATGTGCACCTCTGCACCTAGCATTGTTTCCAATGAAACAAAATGTCTGTAACTAATATGTTACAAGAAAATAATTCAGAGTCTGTAGTTTGCTATTCAAAGGTTCCCCCTAAGCCCCACCAGGGATCTAGGATTTCTGGTGAACTAAGAAGAGTATGAACCTAGTACTGAGATACACTGTACAAATAGGAATATGAAACTGGGCATGGCGGCACATGCCTGTAATCCCAGCAA